CCAAGGGATCTGACTCTCTAGTTACACAACCACCTCTCAATGAGCCAGGCCCAGCTTGTGGCCTCCGTGGAAGATCCACGTGGGATCTTAGTGTGGCGTGGCTTTCTCCTGCTGCTCAGCCTGAGACTGAGCTGAGCCACACTACCCTCCCCTCCCCTGCTCCCCTCTTCCCCTGCCCGACTGTCACGGGCTCTGAGAATACTAGTTAATTTTAATATTAGCCTAGGAAAGATTAATTAGGAAGGCAAATTTGCTCTTAAAAGTGTAATTAACTCCAAAGCCAAATAGAAGAGAGCTATGGATTATCTGCATTGCTGCTGCCTTAAAGTAGTGTGGAGAATCAAGGGCTGACTAAATGAGCACAGAATAATTTTTTAAGTGTCAGTGCTGTGTCGACTAAACTCCAGATAGTTCCTCGTGAAGCGGGCTCATGGCTGAGACAAAAGATTTAGACTGAGGTGGTGCCTGTGCAAGTGAGACAAAGAGGAAACCTCCAATCAGACATCCTGTCTGGGCTGTTCCAGCTCCTAAATCATTCACAAATCATGTGTCTTCCTCTCTTGTCCTCCCACAGACTGGCCTGGTCCAGGTCTGAGTCAACTCTTTTCTGGACTATTGCAATAACTCCCCCAAGTAGCCTCCAGACTCTGCCCTACCAACTCATTCTCCACTCAGAATCAAACTGAAATTGTATCAAATGCATAAACACATGGTCCTCTACCTAGTGTCAAACATAAATTTGGTCATGCCATGTGCCACTTACAAACTTCCAAATGTGCCTAGAGGTGATTAAGTCCTTAGCCTGGCCCACAGAACTCTTCATAAAGTGGCCAGACCTGTCCACCTGGTTGATTTCCCTCTCACTCATCACATCCTAGAATGACTGTCCCCAGCCCCCTTGTTACAGGGCAAACTACTGTTCATTCTGGAAGTCTAAGCCCAAATGAAACTTTCAACCCTTAGAACCTTCCAATTCTGGGTTCCTGGAGCACTCTGTTAACAGCTTATCTTATTTTCTTGTAGTTATTTGCTTTCCTTTCTCTTTAAGGAAATAAGCTCCTTAAAAGAAGGACTGTAGCTTTTGTATCTTTGTATTCTCTTCTTTCTCCCCTAATTTAGGCCAAGCATAAAGTCTGTCCCATAGGAGATGATCAATAAATATTTGTTGAAATAAATTGGTCAGTTAATGGTTTCAACAATGATGCCAACTGGATTAGCTCACTGAAACTCAAACTTCCTTCTTTCTCCCCCAGTCAATAGTTAAGTACAGCTTGAAATATCTGGGGAAATGCCTCAGTTCTCCATTTCCTTGTACCTGCCTAGCTGAGGTTCAGAGGTCGGGAGGAAAGTTTCAGGAGACTGCAAGCGATGCATTCAGCCTGACAGCTGCGGATCTCTGCTTTAGTTGATTTCCCCCTTTGCAAATGGTTATTGGCAATTGAAACTGCAAATCTACTATCTGCTCCCCTATGTAAATTGCATTTACATCTAAATTGTTCATTCTTCCAAAGGATGGGGTTAGTAAATAACAGCAGATTCGACTTGAGGAGAGGAAATTGTGCCCCATGTCAAACCTGAGACTGAAGTGACATCTGCCTTTTACTATTTCCGTTATTTCAGTTTAATAACAGCATGTGGCATTAAGGGAAAAGAAATTGGATCTACATTTTAATGAAAGGAGGAAGCTCTCAGGGTTTAGATACCTTATCATGTTGAATACCTAGTCAATTGGCAATTAAAACTTGTTTCCCTGGAGAAATGGAATAAAACATCTTTGCAGCCGTGGAGAGGATAAAACAAAAAACAAGCTAATGACCAGGACTTCACAGATAAAACCAAGGGAAACCGGTGCTATAAACATCAAAACCAAGTATTTCAGGATACTGCAGAGTACAGGAATTCTCAAACAGAATAACACTGAGAATAGAATCATGGATATGCCAGTGGGAACCTCAAGAGAATAACTTCAGATAGAATGGTTTGCAAATAATAGGGGGCTCAACCCAATCAGATCATCTGATTGAATCCTTTGTCAACCTAGCTTGGTTTTAAACCCCACAGGCCTGACCAAGAAAATATTTTAGAAATGCCAGTTTCATCCCAATAGTCTGTTTAAATGGAAGCAGTCCCACCTGCTGGCTGCTTTTTTGTTGAAAGCAGTTCTGGGAAATGTGGATAAAAGCTTGTGCATCCTAATAACCCAAGCCTATCATTTGTTTGCTTTGATTGAAACAAATGTGTCAATTTTCAAAGTCTTTGTTTGGTAAATCCAGTGTTCAGATCTTGGCAAATGTTTTCGTCGCATGTTTGTTTGGAAACCGATGCTCTATTCAGAAACTCTAGAGCCATAGCCCTTGGAACCACAGCCTGGGATCACCCAATGAGGCCCCCTGACTATGCATGCAAAGATGGTCAGTCCTTTCCCAGTATCTGGAAAGTGTTGAAATAATAGACTCCCATGGGCAAGTGTAAATGGGATGGAGCCTCCTAAGAAACAGACTGGATGTAGGATTTTTCTGAGGGTAGGGCTCGTGAAAAATTAGAACAACGGAAAACATCCATATAGTACTTACTATGTGCCAAGCACTTTATGTGTATTATAACTCAGTGAATCCACATAACAGCCCTGTGAGATAGGTACAGTTTTCATCCCCATTACAGACGAAGTAAAGGAGACACAGTGAGGTTAGTAACTTACCCCATCCAATGTCACCCAGCCGGTAAGAGACAGACCTGGGATTTGACTCTAGCCAGGCTGGCTCCACTGTCCCCTTAACCCCTTCCAGTGATTTCCTCCTATCTCTGGTATTTAATGAAAGCATTGTGTTCTCACAAAGTTGTATTGTCTTGCATAATTGTTCTTAAAATCTTAGCAGTCTTTTTTGAAATACCCAAGCTAATTGTCTGAGGGATTTTCCTTAAACAAAATAAAGCAACAATAACAAAAACTAGCCTCTGCAATGTGGATAATAATATCTGTGCTGGAGGTCTTACAGAAGTGTGCCGAGGATAAAATGAGATGATATGAGAGTGCTTTGAAAAGGCCAAAGCCATCAAAATTCTGCGACATATTATTATCTATCTATAGTCTATACTGATTCTTATTCCTACATGAGCAGTTCCTTAACAAGTTAATATGGGTTTCTGCCACTTTCTTTTGTCCCCTAGAGTAATATGGCCAAATTACCCAACTACTACTGTAAGTCTTTTGATAATGGCCTAGTCACTTGAGTCTGTCTGATTTCTCCTTTATCTTCCCAGTTTCTTGGCACCATTTAGTTTGGTAGCAGCTCCTTCTTACTCCCTGTGCATAATGATAACTTCTCTGTGTCTCTTGACATTTTACTATGGCAGTCTGCCTGTGAAGTCAACCAGTGCCTCCTTCTGTTTGAACTCAGGTTAAATTAATCATCTGACTTTCACATCAGTCTGTTGCCATGGGGCTTCTGATGTCACACTGTCAGTATTATGATTACCATAATACCTAACAGTCAAAAAGGGATTGGTTGCTAGTGGAAACCCTTGGGTGAAACTCACACAGTTTTAGTAACCAACCCAACTGCATAGACTTTAGACAACCATGGGTAAATGGGTAAGTGGATTAGTCATTCAGTTGGATTCCATTTGAATATTTTTCTTCCATATGTGTGTTCCCTTTAAGCAATTGTCTAGTGTCACTTGAAACTGATGAGGGCTCTTTTGGAGGTTATTTTTGGGAAGGTGGTGAAACAACAGACAGCTGTTCTTGGGAACAAGTGTCATAGGATCTGCCTAAGCTAGCTTCCAGTTAAAAAAAAAGTCTGAGGTGCATTGTCCTTTTCCTTCATAACATTAGGTTGTTTACTAGTGGCCTGAAAGTGTCAGTTCAGCTTCCCAAACACATAGGAAAGAAGGAAACTTACATTTACTAAGAACCTACTGTGTGCCAGAATGTGACTCTGGTCAAAGTATAGCTTTAAGGTGGAGAACTGGTAAGCTACGTGTTCTTGAACAACCCTGTTATACGCGACAATTCGCAGCTTTTTCCAGCTTGTATACAATGTTCTTCCTAATCGGACATTGACTGCCCACCAATAAAGGCAAAGTCAGCACTTAAAATTGGTCCAGATCCTCCTATGCTGAGTAATTGTCTTGCAGTCATTTTCAGTGCACTATTAAAAGACTGGAAACATAATAGAAACGAGGTACAATAAATAAACTCCTGAATTAAAAGGTTTGACAAATGCGTCTGTCTTTTTAGGATCTTGTTAAGTAGGTGGAGGGGTCACTTTTAGGGGATAAAGGGATCAACGGAATAAAACTGATTGAACTTGAGGCTGTGAAGATTTGGAAAGCCATATCAAGACTTGCCTAAATCTATATAAATCAATTTGTGTGCCAGAGAATGAATAGCTGACTTTTTTCAAATGCCAATTCAGCAATTACAAAGTCTGCTGGCGGTTAATTAAAAACTACCATCTCATTATGTTCAGAGTTAAATTACAAGTGTGAAAAGACTACTGTTTGCAATAACTGAATGCTCTGTACTCTCTGTGCTCTCATCAAAAGGCAGGCAGGGATAAATAACTTTTATTTAACTCACTGGAAAATCTCTCTCAGCTCTTTCATGTTTAATTAACTTCTTCCCAGAGCTTGGGTCTTAACTTAGAGTTCCTAAGCAGTAATGGAAATATTTGTTCACTTTGTGCAGAAGATTTTTCTTCCATTAGTTGAGTAGAAAAGTTAGAAATAATTGAACCCCAAAGACACTGGGAAAAGTGACACCCATCCAAAGATTTTCATTGAGGCCACTCCAGGAGAGATTTATGACAGAAAAACGGCAGAAAATGGTGATTTTTGCTTCATTGCCTGGGTGCCTTCAAGACTGGGGATCTGGGGTCGTAAACACTTCTGTGGACTGGTCAAGTTTTAGTTCTCATTTGTAAGTCTGTCTTAAGGAACTTAATGTTTTGCTATTTCAAGGATTCCACTGTCAGAAAAGAGACCAAACTTTTATCACCATGGTGGATGTGAAGTGTCTGAGTGACGATGAATTACAGAACGAACTTGACAAGTTTGGATTTTCACCTGGCCCAATACTACGTACGTATGCAGCAAGTATTAGAGACTACTCAATGATTACCTATAAGCTACCTCCAAAGATTGAAAATTATTTACAGTGGAAGGAACCTATGCAATAAAAACCATTAAAATAGAAATAGGAAAAAAATTTAAAACCCAGCTCTTTCTCACAGATTAGTAAATTTGGTGCCAAAGAGGAAGGATTGTTTTTTTTTACAACAGTGAAACACCAGTTACTCTTGATTATATCACCCTGGGCTCTTTTTGCATTTCTAGTATGTGCACTGTGTTAACTGTTTATGTGCTTACTGTCCATATTTCCCGTAGATAGGATGTACAACTTCGTCTGTCTTGTTCCCCGATGTACCCAATGCCTGACTCCGTGGCCAATCCACAGAGGCCCCACCTTAAGTGAAGGAAAGGAGTGAGTTGAGTAGTTGTGGGGTCTACCTTATTGTAAAAGCCATAATTAGCCAATAATGTAAGATACAAGAATAAGGACCTGAACTGTGAAATATTTTGAATCCAGTGAGATCACATACACAAACAGAGCAACTTAACTGCTCTCCACATTCCTCCTCAGCTTCCACCAGAAAAGTGTATGAAAGGAAGTTAGTTAGTGCAATTGTTGGTCTCAACTCCCTGTGCATCACCCGAGATGAACGGACCCAGAGAACTGGACAGAGCTCAGGACTTTGATGACAGTGAAGGTACCTTCAGAAGCTGTACTGTAGATAGCAGCTGTGCGCTTACTCATACCTTGTCCGGCATGATTTATGCAGCTTTAAATGGTAGGCAGGGTGACCTGTGAAATATCCCTATGGGCTCTTTGCACACAGAGCCTGGAAAATAGGCCCTCGGGCTGCAAAGGGAATCTGTTAACTCCATGTCTATATTCATGCCAGTGCCTCAGTGGGGCAGACTGTCAGGGGAAGGACTGGTCATTCTGCACGTTCTCTTAGTAAACAGAGCCAGCTCTGTGTTTGATTTCTAAAACCGGAAGTTCCTACAGGTGATTTCCAGGTCTCTTTTGAGGTCTCAACCTCTGCTTTGCCTCAATCAATAAATTTGACAATGATTTTCTTCGGATTAAACGATTGCACATCCATTAAGAAATATGAACTAGGGACTTCCCTGGTGGTGCAGTGGTTAAGAATCCACCTGCCAATACAGGGGACACAGGTTTGAGCCCTGGTCCGGGAAGATCCCACATGCCGTGGAGCAACTAAGCCTGTGCGCCACAACAAATGAGCCTGCGCTCTAGAGCCCACAAGCTGCAACTACTGAGCCCACGTACCACAACTACTGAAGCCTGCGCGCCTAAAGCCCGTGCTCCGCAACAAGAGAAGCCAACCACACTGAGTAGCCCGCACACTGCAACGAAGAGCAGCCCCCGCTTGCCGCAACTAGAGAAAGCCCGCACGCAGCAACAAAGACCCAACACAGCCAAAAATAAAATATAAATAATTTAAAAAAAAATTTTTTTTAAAAAGAAATATGAACTAGGTTGCACCTCCCCAAACTCCTCCTGTGCCTACTGCCTTCCTGATTTAATGGGGGCTGACCACAGCTGGTCTCTTCCAGGTCCCAGGGAGGGAGGGAGTGGTGAACTCTGGGATCCGTGGGTTTCCCTTTCAGTGGCCCCTGCCCCAGGTGCACCGTTCTCCTGCAGGGGTGTCCAGTTTGGGCTCTTAGGGGTGGGCTTGAAGATTCCCACAACGCATTCCGAGGCTCTTTCATCCAATAAATATTTATTAGGAGTCCTATGTGAGCCACAGTAAAATAACAGAAACTATCACTTATTGAAGGCCATCAGTGCATTTCTGGCCTAACAGGCATTATCTCATTTAACCTTCACAATACTTAGCTGGAGTTCAGACAGGCCAGGTGACTGGCCCAACATCATATAGCTAGGAAGTAGCCCCCAAAGATAAGCTTCCATTAGAATGTGCCCTGAAGAGTAAGGCCCATCTGTCTTCATTACCGCCACATGTCCAGGTCCTAGAACAGTACTAGGCACATAGCAGGAATTCACATATATTGAATATACTGTGACAGAAAAGTGACAGAACTGAGATTTGAACCCGGGTCTGGCTGTCATAATTATGCTCTTTCTACCACATACTCTATACTTTTCTCATAATTTCTATTATGAGGATGAACATATGACATTTTTGTCCATGTCCGGACAAAAAATGGCAGTTTCGTATAGCTCAAATTAAGAGCTAAACAAACAATGTAAGTGCCTGGGGCCCTCTGAAAAATCCCCTGTAATGCCTGGTATTGGTGGTGGCGCAGGCACTGAGAGCTTTCCCCGAGAGTCTGGCATGGCCTCATTTGGAAATGGCAGCAGAGTTTGGGGACAGACCCCAATGGCCCCTGAGCAGAACAGTTAGCATGGGGGTACCTCAAGGCAAGTGGCGAGCCCAGACCCTTTCTGGATGTGGGATGCGTTCAAAGTCTTGACCCAGACCTGGAGCTGCCTCTGTTCCCTGCCAAAGATACGAGCTGAGGGGACTAGACCAGCCCTCTGATGAAAAGCAGTGTCAGACTAGAAGATGCCAGAGAGGAAGGCTTGTATACTCACTGCTCACAACTGCCCAGGACTGCAGGTCAGACCTGCACAAGCAAGCTGTTGTGGTCTCAAGCCATGCTGGTTCCCAGCATGTAGCCCTCCAAAGAGGTGCATTTATGCGAGGGCTAGGAGAAAGCTGGCCCTTCGGTTTGCAAGCTTTGCTATTGCTTTAGACTGTCTACCTGATGCTAGCCACCTGCGGGCAATCAGATCAGAGGGGGAAGCTCTGGTTCAGTCTTACTCTTGTAATGCTATTCTGCAACGTCAATGGCCGGTGGTTAATACAAACAGAAAACCTGCTTCTCAAGGTCAGGTCTGAAATGAATGTTTGAATCTGCTCGTTGAGGACCCTCAATAAGACCCTAGTGCCATTAGAATGGAGGGGTTGTCATGGAACTCATGGGATCTTGTGGAATTCAGCCTTGGGCATTTCACAGAGACATCCAGGCCTGGGGTGGGGTTGTGGTGGAGGGGCAGGGCAGTTCCAGACCTGAGGCTGAGCATTAGGTCATCCAAACAATGGGTAGATTCGATTTTTCTCATTTTTCACTCATTGTTTTGTCACTAGGTGGACATAGTGTTAATGATCTCACCTCTTTTCAAACTTCCCAAATATCTGTGACATGAAGAACTCATTTAAAATCCCCTGCATTAGGGCTTCTCTGGTGGCGCAGTGGTTGGGAATCCGCCTGCCAATGCAGGAGGCATGGGTTCGAGTCCTGGTCCGGGAGGATCCCACATGCCGCGGAGCAGCTAGGCCCGTGCGCCACAACTGCTGAGCCTGCCCTCCAGAGCCCACATGCCACAACTACTGAGCACGCATGCCACAATAACTGAAGCCACGTGCCTAGAGCCCGTGCTCTGCAACAGGAGAAGCCACCGCAATGAGAGGCCTGTGCACCACAAGGAACAGTGGCCCCTGTTCACCGCAACTGGAGAAAGCCTGTGCGCAGCAAAGAGGACCCAATGCACCAAAAAATAAAAATAAATAAATTAATAAAATCCCCTGCATTAAAACCTCTGCTGAATGTCCAACAGCACACAACTGCTCCAAGTTTATCAAAATGCTTCACAGACTGAAGCCGAGGGTTGATTAACAACCTTTTCTGCTCCTGGCGGTTCCCCTGATTTTAAAGCCTTTTTGCACAGGTTTGGCCTTCCCTCCCCTGGATGCTTCTTGGGATACAGAAGAAATCCTCCTGCCCTATCTTGACAATCAGGGATGCATGAGGCTTACAGCTGCTTTGAAGGGGCAATGACTAGACTAAAAACGCACCCAGATGAGCAGCCAGCTCAGGCTCTGAGATGTATTTCTCTCAGAGGCATACAAATGTGACAGCCTCCCTGCTAGAAGCCCTCCCTGTGCTCCCAGGGGGAAGGCCTGTGTGTTCCACAAAGTCTACTGCAGAAATGCTTTTTTCCATCAGAAAGGCAAAGTGAATTTTCTCCCCCTCACAAAAATCTTTTGCCCTACAATTGAGAGAATTCACTCCTATCATTGGTGTGTATTCCCTTTGCTAGCTCATATGTTCTCATGGCCTATTTTCCTTTTGTTTCCCATGATCCAGAGCTTAATGCCACTATCATTTTGAAAGGAAATATCATATTCTCATCAGAAAAAAGCAAGGGACCCAAAAAAGTATGTACAATTCTAATGCATGAATACTTTTACACATATATTAAATATAGAAAATAGCACTTTTCACGTGTATCAAGAAGGGAAATAGAGAGTCACTACATTCTGTTACAACGGTAAAATCCTAGTTTAAAACAGCTCATTTTAGTGAAGGTTTCTGTTTTCTGAAACTATTTCCACATTCTAGCATAGGACCCAGAGTCACAGTGTCCTCCTGCGCCATCTCCTCACCCTGAGATAGCCACCCTCTCTCCCCTCCAGCTGTTGTCCCCTCTCTCTCCTTTTGTCACCCGTGGTCTCATATAGACCCATGGTGAGCATGGAATAACTGTGAGTTCCTGTTCCCGTCTCTCTCTCTTTCTCCCGGACACTGTGGTCATTGAAGCACAAGGCCAGGTGTGTGAGAGTAACAGGTTTGGGTAAGCCCAGCTGGCTTAGGGACCCTGCCCTTCCACTTGCTAGTTGTGTGACCTTAACAGATCTAAGCCTCCCCTAGTGCAGTGCTTAATAGCAGCGCCTGCTTACAGGGTGGCTGGGAAGGGAAAGGCCAGTAACGCTCTCAGCCTTGGACCTGGCACATCATTAGCTCACATAATGAACTCCAGGTCATCAACTCTAGGGACCCTTTCTCAGTCTTCTGACCACTGTCCCTCCTTATTTAGAGACACCTGCTTTCTTCAATTTTGGCAGCTCTGTGTTCTCTTGGTTCTTGGTTCTACCCTCTTCCTGTTCCGTGCTGAGTCTTTGTCTTTTGGCCCCTAAAGAAGCTTGTGCCTGAGGTCTGTCTTCAGCCCTCTTCCCTTCCGCTCTGCATCATTTCCCTTGCTGTCTCCTCACTTCCCACCTCTATGTCGTGACTCCACATAGAACCTCCACACAGGACACCCCTCCTAGGCTTAGGCCTGCGTATCCAGTTGCCTTCTGTCCTGGAGAGCTCCTTCCTTCTCCTTCTCTTCCCCTCCTGCTTTCCCTCCTTCCCGCATTCACCCAACAAATGTTTGTCATCATGAGCATTTCAAAGATTAGATATATGTATTTATACTTCCCCCTGTGGTTATATTCCAGCACCTCACATTCAGGGTATCCAGGATCAAGCTCATTTTCACTCATACCAACCTGCATTTGTGGCCTCTGTTTATCCTGATGGCTTTACTGCCTTCCCACTGTCCAGGCTCAAAGCCTCCGAGTTGTCTTGGGATGCCACGCCCCTCAGCTCCTTAGGTATAAACAATCGCCAAGTCCCATGGATTAGAATCACGAGTTTTTTAAAAATTATCCCTCCTTCTCTTCCCACTGCTGCTATCTTAGCTTGCATTCAGCTACTTAAAAAAAATATTTTTTTTGAACAATTGCAAAATCCTCCAACTGGCCTCTTCCTCCAACTTTTCCCAATTCAGGTCCAAATCTATCAGCAGAGATTGAATCACATTATTAATTTGCCTGGAGACTTTACAACAAGAGGCAAACTTACTATGCACCATGAGGAGACACCAATGTCTCCTGTAACTTTATCTCCCTCATCGTCAGATCCAAACCATAATTACTTGTTTCTGCACCTCTCACACTTTCTTCCCACATGCCTTTGCCTCAACTGTTCTTTATGCCTGGAATTCCTTTCATTTTCCCACCCCCTCCCTATTTTTCTTCCTGTTAAAATACTGTGATCATTTAAGGAACGTCTCAAAGGCCAATCCTGTGCATCCCTTTACAGTTGCCTTTCATTCCCTTCATTGGCTGTCACGGGCTCTTGCACATAGTAGGATCCCAAAGCTCACCTCATCAAACACTCTAGTGACAAATAGGTTAAGTTTACAAATGTGATCTAGTATTTAAACTACTTGCTGAGTTTAAATACCAAATGAAAAGGAGCCCCCAAGTAAACACTCCTGCAGTACGCTCTAGCTTTAACTTCCCGTTTAAACATAATTGAAATTAGATGAAGGAATTCAGATATCTTATAAATTTTCTAAAAGGATTTTTTAAATCTTCTAAATGGCTCATTAAAGGAATCCTTTCCATTCATTAAGCCTCGTTTCCACAGAAAACCCTTTTGTATAGTTCCTGCAAAGACATTTACAGGAGAAACAGCAGCCTGAGTATTTAAAAATGCATCAGGTGGGACCAGTGCCCTTCAGTCTTTGCTTTACATAAACCCGAAATAAAACCACATCAATATTTTGAATTGGCAATAGAATTTAATAGAAAGTTTGTGATGGCATAAAATGTTTTGATCTGAAGGATTTACATAAGCCATTTTGATTCTCAGAAGGGCCCCAAGACATCTGTTCAACTTTAAATCTGAAAGTAAATGTAAATAAGCACTTAAATTTCCATGTAAAAGGTGGTAGAACATGTGTTTATTGAGACACTTGTCGAACACCATAGACTTTAATTACTTAAAAGCAGTGGTCTGTACCTAACAGTCCTCTAAGTACCTGCAAAGGTAGTATCTGCATTTCTTTGAAACACCAATGAACACACATTTTCCTCTCATTTTAGTAGGTTTCTAGTGGAATACAAACCACTTTGAGATTTGGATTATGTCGATTTCTGGACACTTTTTCATACTCTGTGTGTTTTATCAAGTCACATATATGGCCCATTTGATTTGGTGATTAAGACCACCAGAAAGCCAGGTCATTATTCTTTTTTAATTGTTTTTTTTTTTTTTCATCAGATAGACTCTAGACACAGCTTATGTTTCCACTGATGGAGGAGGAAGTTAAACCAATGTGTACAACTCAGGCTCTAAGTCCCCTTCCCCTAAAGAGGAAAAAAAAATAGGGTTTGGAGGCAGTAGGGAGGCAAAATAATCTACAACATCGAGGTTGCATAAAGTGGGGTTTAAGTAGGGTGACCATATAATTTATCATCCCAAACAGGATACTCTTGAGAATGAAAGGAGAATGTAAAATAGAGTAGTGATGACATATAATAAGAGTTATATAAATGCAATAAGTATTATCCTATCATTAATATTATTATTATATAAAAAGCATGATCTTTCATTATCTGCAATACAAAGCAATATAGTTTGTGAAAAATAATATAATGGAAATTGAATCTTTAGTATTGAACTCCCAAGTGCCATAGAATGTGATTTACAGGTGCCTACAGATATGTTTATATAGTTAAATACACAGATATAACTAAAGATTGTTCTCTGTGAGCGCCGTGTGTTGAATGAGGAAGACCAAGCTTTTAAAAACAGTCATATGTGCCCTCCCAGTATATAGGATTCCTTCTTCTCAATCTTAGGTTTAAATCCATCCCGTGCCCCTTTAAACATTTTTTTGAACAATTTATTTTGAGATAAGTTCAAACTTAGGGAAAGTTGCCAGAATAGTACATAGAATTCCCATATCCCAGATAATCTAATTGTTACCTTTTACCACACCTTTACCTTTACCTATTGTTACCTTTTACCACACTTTTTTTAAAATTTACAATGTTGTGTTAGTTTCAGGTGTACAGCACAGTGATTCAGTTATACATATATATATATATATATATATTCTTTTTCAGCTTCTTTTCCCTTATAGATTATTACAAAATATTGAGTATAGTTCCCTGTGCTATACAGTAGGTCCTTAGTGTGTGTGTGTTTGTGTGTGTGTGCGTGCATGCAGGTACCCTACCATTATGTCTTTCTGAACCACTGAGAGCAAACTGTAGACATGAAGCCCCTCAGCCTTCCAGCATGTATTCTGCTACCCCCCCAAAGGATACTTTCCCACATAACCACTGTATAACACTCCAAATAATGAAATTTACATTGATTTAATGCTAACATCCAATATTCAGACCCCATTCAGATTTCATCAACTGTTCCAATAATATCTTTTGCTTTCTGGTCCAAGGCCAATCCAGGAACATGTGTTGCCTTTAGTTGTCAGGTCTTTTCAGCCTCCTTCAGTCTGGAACAACAGTGCCTCAGTCTTTCCCTGTCAAATGCCCTTGACTGTTTTAAAGAGCATAGGCCTTTCATTCTGCAGGTGATTTTTCTGATTTTTCTTTTGACTATTCATAGAGGTCATGCATCCAGGCAGGAATTCCTCAGAAATGATGCTGTGCTCTTCTCATTCTGTTTCACCGCTGGTAATGTCAGCCTTAATCACCTGGAAAAGTTGGTGTCTCTCAGATTCCTCCATAAAGCCATCATTTTCCCCCTTGGAACGAAACAGTATTTTGTGGGGAGATATTCTGAAATGACACCTCATCAAACCTTATCCGTTAGCCCAGTACCCATGAGTGACTGCCTAATTCAACTTCCATCATCATGATGGCCCTTTGGAAGTTTCTATTTCTATTATTTCTTCTAAATTTATTAGTTGGTATTCTATTGTGAGGAAGACTTTCCCTTCACCCTCATTTATTTATTTATTTATTTGTTGGTTGGTTGGTTTGTTCATATGTCCGTTCCTTCCTTCATTCATTCATTCATACTAGTATGAGTTCATTGACTCTTCATTTCAGTGGTTGTATCTGTTGATATGATTATTTATCCTAATGCTCAATTTGTCCCAGATTTGGCTAGTGGGAGCCCTGGCAGTCCAGTGGTGAAGACTCCACGCTTCCACTGAAGGGGGCGTGGGTTCAATCCCTGGTCAGGGAACTAAGATGCCACATACCATGCGGCAAAAAAAAAAAAAA